AGTTGTATAAAATATTTCTTATAATGAACATTTCAATAGACTAATTGGACCATTTAAACAAGATGGAATACAAATATATCTATTTCATAATTTTTCGTTAAGATTTAAAAAATGTCAATTAATATATGGTACTCATTATAATTTACACAGGTACCTATACTTGACTTTAATATATTTTATTCAGTGCGTTTATTATATCGATAACTTATCATGTTTTTTCTCCAATTGGATTGCAATACTGCAGATAAACGATAAAAACGATTTTGTCTATGGACCATAATATAATGTAGTTACAAATAATATTCTGATAATCAAGTGAATTACCAAGAATAGTTTAAGCTCTTATTCCATAATAATAATAAAAAAAATCAGAGAAATGTAACRAAGCAATGATTTTTGAATGCACGCAGTATAATAAAAAATAWTTTTCAAAATAAAAACCGGGGTACTTGCTATGGTGTCTACTGTCTAGAGGGTTTCGAGTGTATTATTTTGCCACTACACTCTGMAATGATTTTCATTGGGTCCATTTTGCACTTCTTACATTTGGATTCAACAATAAATAATTTTGTATGAAAAATAATTTATGTTGAATGAGAAGAGATGCTGACTACATCTATATTTGGATGGTTTATATTACATTGTATTTATATTATTATTCACATTTTTTTAATTTGATAAATTTAACAAATTATTTCCAAAATTATCACTTGTATGAATTAGTCAATACTGGTGTACCATAAATAGTATAAATAGGTTTCTGATTCTGGGCTTAAAATTAGTCTAATTATTATTTTGAAGATTTAATAATATAGAAAAAAGTTCTATAACTCTACTATAAATATTTTTTTGAATTACAAAATAAAAAGCTATTATTAAGGATAAATTGTGTATTTTCGTAYACATATGTATCCAAATTCATTACAATTTCAAATGCTTAATAAAAAATCCCAAAGTAGTTTTGATATTTTTCATGTTATTTTGACTGAAAAATATAAATGTTAAAATATAAATAGCTTAAAATAAACCCCAAAAAAATTTAAAAACTATGCCTACTAAAAAAAAAATTATGATAAAAATATTTGTTAAAAATGTCAAGGTTTGACAATAATTTATCTTTTTTTCACAAAAATCAATTTTTTGTAAAATTGTGTTGCGTATAAATTCCCATAATATTCCTATTTTCAAATTGATTTCAATCATTAAGAGAAGTACTGAGTACCTACTGCTGAMTTTATTTATTCTTGATTCCAAAATTCAACCAAATTTAATGAATTGGTTACCAGCCTCGATAACTATCATCAATGTTAAAAGTTAAAAAAACTTCCATAAAAATCACAAAATTGAAAATATACATGAAGTAAAAATAACAGGTACAAAAAACCAAATAGCGATTCCTAATAAAGTACCAATAATATTATACTCCTCACATCACTCCGAAACATTCACAATTAATGATATAAAATATATAATAATATATTAAATTCTTACGTTAGTGTACCAGCTAAAATGACATGTATAATCGATATTTTATTTGTATTTAATTGGATAATCGCTAAAATATTCAAGTATTTATAAGAACCAAAATTACTAACATACAAATATCGGACTTTTTTTAGTTCATTAATTCCGTGTAATRATGGTATATATTATTTATTTTTAGTACKTCAATAAATAATCATTTACAAATACCTTCATTTTATAAAGAAAGTAAACCAAGCGAAAAATGTTAATATTTCAATAYGAAAACAACTACCAACTAAAACACTTGAATACTGTATTTAAACACCTTTTCTGCACTTTAGTACACAAAACATATGAGTTTTAATGGTATGCAATATTATTTACARCATCTAAATTAACTGTATTATATTCCCGAATAGAATCGTGTTTTTAAATAATAAATACTTTCATCTAAATTATTGTACTCTATTAATATACCATGTAAAATAACTGATAAGTAAACATGAATACAATTTACTTTAAATAAAAAAAWATATATCATTCACAAGAATTGGGTTTAAAAGGGTTAAGCAAAATCTCAAGGGTTCGACTGCCAAGAGTGACGGGTTGAAACACTATCACGTTTAAAATCGAAATTCCTGACACTATAAAGTTGTTGCTAAGGTATTCCTATCCTTTAGGGATCTTTTCACACTAACCTGGTAGACTAGGTTTGAAAGAGGTAAGAGGTAACTTATCAAATTACAGTTTAAACTTTGGAGTCAWGAAAAGTATTTTTGAAATATTACATGACAAATTTTAAATTGCCATCAAAAGATTTTTGTTACAAGAATTTAATGTATAATCACTAATACGTGACGTATTTTAAAAATGTTGAGCTTACAATTTTAATATTTTTCCAGTTAATTTCTATAACAGACTAAATTTTGAAAAAAAAAACAGCTGTTCAATAAATTCTATAGAGCATTTTCCTAGTAGACATTTTATTTTAAACCAAAATATCAAAAATGGTTATAATTTCTAATCATCTGTAAAAATGAAATCATCTAAGATCACCTATACATATCAACGTATTAACATTTGAAGTTCTGATTGTGACTCATTAAATCATTCATTTTTTTAAGTAAAAAAATGATTTTTTCATTGCAATTAATTACCTATAATTATAGTAAGCCATTTAAATTCCATATCTTTCGAATAAAATGTAAAAAAAAATTTATTCAAATTGTTTGGTAATAACTATTTTTATAATTACGGAAAATAAATATTTTTACTCACCCCAATTTCCGAATGCCAGTACAAGACCAAAATGTAATACTAGTAATTTGATTGAATTTGAAATCATGATGAAATTCTGTGGTTCAATTCTAAAAAAAAGTTTACAATTTAAAGCTTTAGGTGCTGAATTTGTTTGAACATGACAATGATTTTAATGTGTGTCATGATAACTACTTTTGAAAAATATATATACATATCATGTTTAATGAATATTTATCCAATATATTTGGCGCTTAATTAATATTATATGCATAATTATTCTGAAATATGCAATTTGTTTGGGTACAATGATACCACGAAATTTAAATAGAAAGATATAAACAAATCTATTTATTTTTTTTTAATGAAAATCGAATTCKTAAAATGATCATGGGTATTAAACCTTCGATTATTGCATTTTATAAAACGTTGGAGAAATTAAATTCTTTGTTTTGATTATGATCTCTGGAAAAATAATAGATGGAAATATTTTTTTGTATATATATATATATATATTATTCATGATATATAATATATATCATTAATATATTTATAAGATTTTCTTATATCTTAAAATTTATTTATTTTTTTTATACCCAGAAATTATTAGATACTAATATCATTATTAATACAAGACTGCAGGTATCAATTACTGCGTCTTTATGCTTTGACATACCTGTTTCGTAAATATATAGATATTACCTATAGATGTTCTTTATCATTTTATTTTTGATACATTTTGTTTTGGACTATACATTTTTAATACAGATTATTATTATTGTTATTTTTTAAATTCTTGACGAAATATTTCGTAATCGGAAAAATGCACAAACAACGCGATACAGTCCCGGGCTGCGAGTTTGAAGGCAACTGGCCAACGTGCTGACAACGTGATTGGTGTGTCGCACAACCGCGCAGGACTAAAGCGTCGGAGTATAAGACGCCCACATCCCTTTGCACACGCTCACTAAACCAACAAAACAATAAACAAAAAAAAAAAATAATAGTTTCGTGGTGATTCGTGAAACTAATTTTCAACAATTTAATTCATTCGTCCACGAAAAAAATAGGTAATACATAAATAAAGGTATTAATCAAAATCGGTTTATGAAACATCACATTTTTCCAAATCAAAGTTGTTATTGGATTGAATTTTACATGTCGATATACAGCACACTTTTAAGAATACAAAATATAATATCTTAACCATGAATATATATTTTAACAATTGATAATTGTTTTTATAATTTAATACTATGCATTGAATATTCTAATTAATTTTGTTGATCAATTAATACTATACATAAATCGGATACAACATTTTTTATATAAATTTATTAAGTGAAGATTATTATCTAACCCTAAGGAAATATTCCGTGATAAGTTTAAAGAAGATGTTTTCTAAGAATCTCAATTGGTTGTTGAACGTGAAAATATTTTGTATAAATTCGAAAAACTTGTAACACAAAATATAATGTAGTAATATTTTTTTAAATATTTACCGAAAAAATGTGTGAATATAATATGTTACATTCTATACGTTTTACAACCAGGACAAGTCATAAATTAAGTAAAGAAATGTTCAATGAAATGTACAATGATATTTTCCATATTATGACTATATTATTATCACACGGATATTTTTCAAACTCATTTTAAAATTTACTTCATTTAAATACTTAAAGCTCATTTACACGTCTCAAACATCAAGCCCCTAAATCAAGTATTTGATAGGAGGTATTAAAGTCGATCTTATATAATAAAATAAGAAATAATAATGTCCTTTGATCTGTATACCCGTAGTGTCTAATTAATATTCCATTGCAAAAATTTGAAAAAAGCAATAATTGATTCTTAAGAAATGAATAATACATACTGATAAGGTATAATATACTTAAACAAACATTCATTTACAAAATCGCAATATTTTATTATTCTTATTTAAAAATGTTAAGTTATTCGTTCAATATGTATTTGGATATGAAATATTCATTTTAAATCTACTTTTTTTTCATTCAAAATATTTTGTTATTAATTTTCACGAGAAATGTTTTATGTAAAACAATAATTAATAATAGGAACTAACCAACGACGCAAAATTAATAAATTATTGAAATTCAAAACGAACTCGTAATGTCACATATAAATGTAAAAAAAGATGCATAATTAAAATGATAATTCTAATTTTTAGAATTTTAGAATTAAAAGAACTGTATTCTCAAATTGCAAAAAAAAGCGTTTTCGATACATAAAAGTCAGATTTCAATTGAATATTTTTTTGATTATAACTCATAGGACGTAGGTACCGCAGAAAATGTAAGTTCAATGAACTTAGTTCATTACTGCGATCATTAGATAACTTTAAATAATTAAGGTACTATACATATTATAAATATATTTTTATGTAGTCGTTTATAATCTAAGTACTCCAAAGAATATCTTGCCTTCAGAAAACCAAATAAAAATGTATGTTATCGTCCAATAGATTATAACTTATATAAAAATAAAATAATAGTAAAAATGTTAAAAATAAATTTTAATATTTTGTAAGCCCAATGGCCTATGCTGCCGAGGGCTCTTTCCTAATAAAAAAAAAAAAATAAAAAAATAATAATAATATTTTTTTTTTTTAAATAGAAAAGTTTTAAATATTATTTACAAGACTGACTATTAATTTTTTTCGTGTAGATAATTCATTTTTATTTATATAAATTAGGGGCTTGTTCTTCTACAGCTACAGATGATTAGACTTCAAACACATAGTTGGTTGTAGAATTTACTCTACCAGTAAAATCAGGTAAACTTGACCATCTTAAATTGTTGTATTATTTAAATCCCCAAAAACAAACTTCATAACCAACCTATATTTTCACAACCCAATGGCTCCAGATAAAATATTATGCTTATTATATTATTAATTTCATAATCAAAATTAATTTAATACATTTGGAAAATTATTTGCAACATAAGATCAATAATTACTTAAAATATATAGAACAATATTTGAAATCAAATTTAAAAAAAAACATGAAAAAACTTAGATTAATTACAAATTATTATACTGAAAAATACAAGTTTATTTCCACGTCATTTGTGATATAAGAAATACTTTTGGTACCTATGTACTTGTTTAAAGTAGGCTCGACTTTCCTTAAAAAAATTACACAAAATATAATGGTTTTATAAAAGAAAAAATTGAAGAAATTGTTTTTATTATTATGTTTGGACATCTAGTCAAGACATTCAGTCTTAGTGACTTAAATTGTAATCACAAAATATTTTAATGTCATAAATCAATTAACTTAGTAATCAGAAAAGTGACCTCAGAATAATTTCAATAATAAATCCTGTTCTATGCTGGCTTTATTTTCAAATGTTCATATTTGAATTTCATTAAATTCTTATTTCCTCGATGATAACTAAAACGTCATGCCCTGAACATCTAAAATCACTTTTTTTCAACTCTGAGCCGTCTCGTTTTTATCTTTTATGCTTGCCCAGACAAATTTATATTATAATTTTATTCCGTCCCTTAATCTGTAGGCTGCGCCATCCGACCGAAATGAAACCGGGATTTGACTTTTATTGTTTTTTTTTCCCTTGGATGAAATACTTCTACGGAAAAAAACCATACAAACCCTTACCGCGCACTGATCTTCAGTCTGAATTTAATATCGATAATTTAATGGGTAGTATAAAACAACTATAGACTAAGTCAGAAGATGAAAAAAATTATTCAGGACTACTGCTCCCACATAATGTTTTAAAAACTAATTTAGTAGTACAACTATATAAACATTTGAATTTTTTCTTCTCTGCTAACACCAAAACTAATTAGTCAAATGTTGAAATTAAAACAGGTCTGACAAGATATTTAAATTAATACATTTAATATTATTTTTGGTAATTCAGTTTTTTGTGAAATTTATAATCTATATTATTATATTCATGACTCGAAATTATAATCATCATAAAATTACCTACTTACTAATTAAAATATCAAATTTCTTGGTGTAATTTTGTACTATTTCAATGTTAATAGTATTATGTACATAGTATTGATCATTAATGGAATAATATTTTAAATGTGGCTTGGTGAGGGGCGGTCGTACGCTCAATCTGTGGTAACGCACTTAGCGTACGTACCATCCGCAGTTGCTAGCTCCCGGATGGGTGACCACCCGGGATTTTTAGCAACATATCCTTGTCACACATATACAAACACGTGTTACAACCTTACCCACTTAAAAACCTACGAACAAATACACGAAAATAACCCCTACCGTACCCCCACACACAATGGCCTATGTTACTGCGGGTTCCCCTGCGAATAAAAAAATATATGTGTAAATATTTTAAATAAAACTTTTTTTTGTGATATTTATTTAATTTGTACAATCTGTAAGAAAAATATTTATTTACAATAAGCAGAATGGAGGGATACAAAATGGCCATTGTTGACTTGACTGAAAAGCTATTCAATAATAGCACTTCATAGCGGGAAAATAGTGGTTAGTGGACTAGTTAACTAGTCAACTAAAAAATTAAACTTAACACAGAATATATGAAAATATTTTTTTTTTTAGTGTAACTCAAAAGCTAATAAACATAAACATTTAAAAATTGCACAAAATATTTATATAAGCATTTTCTATGTATGGTAACATTTTCAAAATTGAGTATTGTGAAATTTTGTAAATCTTTTCAAGAACATGATTGATAAAAACTTTTTCATTTAATAAAAATCTTGGAAATATAATGCAAGGATTCTCATGAGATTCTCTAATAGTACAATAATATTAAAAATACAAGGAAAAAATATTTTTTATATCCATATAAAATTCAAATTTTATCAAAATCCCGAGAATCTTAAAATGATTTTTCAATTAGGATAAAAGTTTTCTTTCCACAGCTAGCATTAAACATTTTTATAGAAGATACTCCACGAATGTTCTTTGTTGCAAGCTAATAACCTTAGCAGTTGAAGCTGTACCATGAATAAAAAAAAAATTTTCTACCTTTAAAAAAAAAAACAAGTTTAATGGAAAGTTACGACATTTATAGCCAAGAAATATTTTCAATTTTTAATAATTTTTTTTCAATTATAAAATTTTATTATTTATACTAGGATTATTTATTGAACGAAATGTCTGAATAGTTTTTTGTAATGATTTATCATTAATTTCAAATATAACACAACTATTAAAATTACTTACTCGACAACTACCGTACATCAGAGTGATCCCAACTTGTCCACCTTTTTTTAAATTAAATCTGATTATTTTTATTGGAATACTTTTCTTTTAAATTATAATTTACAGTACAAGAATTTCAATAACTATCATAATTTGAATGTACATAATACACATTTTCAAGCAAAATAATAATAATAATTTTACTTCACATTTTTTAAAGAAATATTTGTGACTCAGTTTTAAACAAAATATACTGTTTAGTGACACGAAAGACATACTGTTGACTTATTAAGTATTTATATGAAAATAAAATAATTTTTTGTTCAATATATATATGAGTAATTTCTCAATGATTTTACAAGAAACTAATCTAAATTATTATAATAAGGTAACATGTTATATATTACATCTGCTAAAGTATTTTATATACTAAGTATGTAGATGCTCTTTTAAATTGTAAAGAGGAGGTTTTTAAAAAATAAACTTTGTTAAATTTTTATTTTTAGGTTATTTAAAATTATT